CATTGATTAAAGTTGATAGCGTAGCAACCCTCTTGCTAGCAGCCTGCGGCTGGATCATGATGCGGTTGCGTCTTTGCAGAGCGATTGGATGGTGGAGCCTGGCTACGATGGTACTTTGTTCCATTCCCGTCACTCTTAACGCTCTTGCAGTCTCTTCTTACCTCGCGGCGCTCAAAGGCATTCCCACAAGTGCGGGGAGTTATCTGGGGAGCAGCGGTGTCATGATCATGGTAGGGTTTAGCTGTTCTATTATCGAGGTCATGATCGCTGTGGCAATTTTGCTATGTAGCATCTCTAACTCCGCGGGTATTCATTGCGACGAACAAGTCGAAGCCTTACCTTTGGACTGCTCTGCAGAGAGAAATACCAACTTTCTCGACAAAAGGTCTGGACATAACGGCTGAACCGAAGGGGCAATTCAATACTAGGTCAACGGTTCACCACGACCACGTCGCCATCGGTTTGGGGTATTCGGCAGAGGTGTACTGGAACAGTGAACGGTGTTGACTCAGCTGATGGGTACATGACGGCTGCCCAAAGCACTCGTTGATGCCTGAAGGCTTTGACTCTTGTATCTTTCGCTCCGATCTCGTAAACAGATCATGCCCTTTCTTCGCTGGCAAGCTAAAGGGCACCTGTCTCGTAGAGCGCCATCTCTCGTATACATTGGTGTACCTGGGGACCAGGCTGGGATATATAATCGACTTTTCTTTAAACAGTCAATCACATCGCGCTGAGCTTGATAGTCTAACGTCCGGCTAGCAGAGAGACCTAATACTCAGCATTGTATTCCGTTCAAGGCAATGGAGTCTAGTCGATATCAATCGTCATTAGTAAATCCTAAAGATGAGCTCAGAAGAAGAGAGAAAAACCGTTTCATTCCCAGAGCAGTAGCTACCGAGGAAGATAAGAGGCCAATGATTCCTCAATACATAACGTCATTCTTGTGAGTCAATAGCTTCAAATATCTACGGGCTTTTTTACGCAGCGTCAGCGTTTTAGTCAGATCTATACTTCGTTCCCTAGCTTCGTCACGCCTGTGTTCTTATCCAGGTCGCCGTTCTGTAAGGCACCCACTAATCTCTCGTCACTCATGAAATAACGTACTGCGATGCGTCTTCTTGAGTCTTAAATGATTTGTGGACGACAATGGTCACAGGCAAGTCCGCCATCACCGTGTCAGCGGTGAACCCGCGATAGCCATCTGAAGATAGACAATTATATATAGACACAGACTGCGTTCATTGTCTGTTATTTTGCTGGCAATGAAGTGGCTTCCTTTCGCTTCGATCAATGCATTTGCTGCTTTTATATTTACTCATGCCCTAGCAGAGGCTATCGAGAAGGAGTGTTGGAGGGGCCCTGCGATGAGACTCGGCGGCGTGGAATACTTTGAGACTCCTGACGATGCAGCCGCATGTCCTGAAGCACACGTTTACTTTCTTGGCTCTCAGAGGGAAGTCCTCCTATCCCAGCAGGTGAACATCACAAACTCGTCTACCACTTGCTCTTCCAAGCTGTTGCAAGCCATTTCCTTGCCGGCAGGCCTTGACGCCACCTACGCCAAGATAACTTTCTTGTGCGGCAACGACGACGACCCCAGCTGCCAGATGATCCGGCTTCTGCCACCAGATGCCTCGTATTCAGCTGCAAAACTGCCTTTGGCAATGACAAGAACATGTCTCGAGTCGAGCATCACGACGGCTGCCTCCTTACCATCGGACGCTACCGGTACTGCAAGCGTTTCGTGGAACGGCACTTCACCCACGACCGTGGCCAGTCTTCCCACTT